CCACTGTCAACTAAGGAAACACCTCCGTAATATGGGGCTAGTGGACACACCCCTATACAGGATGTGTGAATAGGAAGATGAAACCGTCAGGCATGTCCTATGCGAGTGCCCGGAGTTATCGTCAATAAGAGAGTGTGTGTTCAGCGAGTCTTGGTCTACACCTGCCGATATAATGGAGATGTCTCCTATATATAATTTTGAATGAACTTTCACATAAATTGAAAGTTAATGGAGTGTTTTTTTCATTAATATTCTGCTGCCATACCTTCATTCCGCTAGCAAACTGTAACGTTACTGGATTGTCAGCCACAATATCGGTACTTTTTCGATCTCCATAATCTCCCCTGGCATTGAAGCAAGCGATCTTCACGTCACTCATCAAACCAAAGAAAAGGATTCCGTCTTTGTTGAAAGCTTCTGCTGCGCTTTGTGTGCCTCTGTTCTTACGATATGTCTGAAAAAGAAAGACAATATTATGAAAAAAATTGCCGTTATTTTAATAAAGTTGTGGCTCATAACCACGAGCCTTCTAAAATATGTCTTGGGACTGTCCATTGTTGGAAGTTATCTGAAGCATAATCTAACCTGTAATCTAAACTATTCAAAACTAGATTTTATCCCAAACTATTTTCTCTCAGTTTGAAACTAGAACCCGAAGAAAAGGAATTCGTGATTCAACACCAATCAATCAACAAATATACTTTATTGTCCAACAAAAGATATTCTTATCGACAAAGCATTCTATAATCTAAAGTCAGTACATAACTGAATTTGACAAATAGTATTCTATATACCACAGGTCGACAAAAAATACAAAATTGTCACAACACAAAAAGTGAGCATCATCGTCAAAATATTTTTATTTACATATCTTATTATAATCTAAAATCAATTTTATGTATAATCAAATTTGTGAATGGTACATAAAATAAGTTGACATCACAATACAAGAAAGTGAGCATCATCGTAGAGTATAATAGGATTTGAGCAAAAGTATGTTTTTGACTTTTTTTCGAAAAATATGGTGTATGGAGATTTCTCTCAAAAAGAGTGACAAGTTGTTCTATATCTTTGTACTCTCATACATAATTGATTTTTTCGTTAATTCCAAGTGGGGGATGGGGAGAGGTAAGTTTTTTCTTGTTATTTGACTGAGTATTATGGCTTGTTCAAGTGCGTTCAGCATCGGAGACGTTGGACGTGTGCGCTTATGCTCCAAACATAGTTTCAAATATGGAAATGGAAGTTACAGCCAAAATTCTCTGTCTTGTAAATAATGGTTCACAATGGTCGGTGTATTTAGCTATGAACATGAATTTGACTGCCCGTTTCTGCAGGACGCAAACAGAATCGAGCAATTGCTTGCTGCAATAACCTCAAAATGTCATATCATATCGCAGGTGTAATTCGATTAGAAAAAAATATGTCACCTTATTCATTGGCAAACCCTGTTCCTCAAACACAACTTTCACGGCAAAGCAGCCCGAAGCCAGTTTCCTTTTGAGACTTTGGATGTGGATATAGAATTTTAGGTTATTTTCAATTTCAATGCCAAGAAATTTGGCACAGAGTTTGTTTTCAGTTGTTGTAGTACCATATATAAGAGCATTGAAGCAGATATGGTTTGAGTCGCACCAGTGTTTTACCTTCTTTAAATTATATTCCATTTTTAGATTTTAGTAAATCAAAATTTCAAAATTAGACTCCTTCTTCCATATCAGTGTCGTATCATCAGCAAACATTGAGATCTGACCCTGTAATATTAATACTGGCTGAGTTATATATATGTATATATTTTTTTGATTGATGCAACTAATTTTCCTTTATTTTCAGTATTTCAATATTAAATTCTACAAAAAGGATTTGAAGCTTTATATCTTCTATAAATTATCTGCGAGGAAAATTACTGATTTCCTT